CCCAACCCCCAGGGCAAAATCAGTTCGAGATAGGCTTCCAGACCGTTCGTGGAATACACATATATATATGTATATATGTATATACTTATCATTATATAAAAATATTTAGAGAGAGAGAGAGAGAGATTCCTCTTCCTATGTTTTTGCAAGCCCGGGCGGGGGGGAAACCCGTCACCCCCCCCCAAAAAAAAAACCGGACTCCCGGGAACTGGGGCTTTGGGACACTTCGGACGGGCCTCGAAGCGGCCCCCCGGGCCTCGCAGTGCGTTTTGCCAAGCCTTCGCAGCACACCTAGGGCGATCAGGGGGGTCATCGGAGACGTCCCAGAGAACCCCAAGACAGCACAAGAGCGCTCCAAGAAGCTGTCATACCCCGAAAGATCGCTCCAAAACGTACCAAGAGGCCTCCAAGAGCACCCCCAAGAAGTCCCCAAGAGGGAATACTCATAGATTTAATGAAGGTTTTTGGTGAATTTCGGGTTCTCCTCTTTTCGGCTCCCCGACGCTCTAAGACAGCGGTCTTCTGGGCGTCCGAAGTCGCCTGGGAGGCTCCAACATCGCCCCGCAACCATCCGAAAGGGCTTCCGGGCAGTCCAAGAGAGCCCCAGAACGGCACAACAGGGGTCCAAAATGGCCCTAAGAGAGCCCCATGGCGGCCCAAGATGGCCCCAAGACACCCTCCGAAGCATTCCAAGTCGTGGCCGGGGCGTTCAGGGAGACTGCGGCTAGAGGCAGGTTGGCCTTAGGAAGCCTCAGAGGCCCCCAGAACACGCCCAGGAGGCCTCCAGAAGGCTTCAAGAAAGCCTGAGAACTTTGGTGAGGCCCCCAGAGGCTCTCCAAGGAGGAGTCTCCGCAAAAGAGCTGAGGAGGATGGGGAGAATACCCAGGGTATGGCGAGAATGAGGAAACATAAGCATGAAGGAGGATAACGAACAACATTATTATAACGGCAATGCCAGAAAAGGCAGCAAGGAGTTATCGCAAAATTGTGCGCTTAACCTTCCTGCCATTTCCGCCTGCATACCAATCTTCAAGGACCAAGGTGCATGGCGCGAAGCGCCACTGCAGTCTTGTATATATATATATATATGTATATATATATATATACATACACTACGTCATGTTGTTAGCATTAAGTCGGGCACGTCCGTCTACAGGAGGAAGATCCCAAAAGAGTCACACAACAAGTCGGGACGATTTTTTCGAAGTATTTCTCTGCTATTTAGGAGTATGCTGGTGGTATGTTTTATTTGTCGTCCCAATTCCGCTTGTAGGAGGACATGCCCGACCGAACGCTAGGAGCCAGCTTCCCGATCTGCACCCAGCCGTGGCGCCGATCACGCCCAGAGCAAGATCTCCCAAACGACGTCGGGCGGCCGCACCCCTTCCGCGCGCCGTCGACTCGGGGGAGCTGGTTGGGCGAGCTGGCAACTCTCGACGCTGGTCCTGGCTCCTAGCCCCGTGCCCTCCAGGAGCGGCGCGCGGCAGACGGAAGAGGGCCTTGATGCGTCGTTGCGCACGATGCCTCCCGTTCAGGCTCCACTTCGCTCCGGTCGATCCCGTGCGGTATCGATCTCCAGCCGGCTCGATCCGAGTCGAGCACGTTGTCCCGTCGATCCGAGTGCGGGCCGATGCTTGCACGGCGCTGTTGTGCATCCTGGCTCAGCCGAGCCGATTCGATTCCGATCCCGTGCCGGTGCGGCCCGGTCCGGTGCACGTTCCGATCCGGTTCGGTCTGCTGGTTCGATGCTGGCTGATCCTTCTGTTCTGTGCGTTTCACTTCCAGCTCGAGTGCACGCAGCGTTGTTTCACAGTCCATGCGTGCGTGGAGTCATGGCTCTCTTTGATTTGCGGACACGCTCTTCGTCTGCCCTGGGACGGCGAGGTTAAACGAAGACCTACGAGAGTCCCTCGTCCTCCTCGTCTTTCTCAAGAGCCAATTCTTAATCATTCTCCTCAAGCGCCACGTCCCACCCGCATTTTTGTGGGACACCCCCTCCAGGCTCTGGAACCGCAGCGAGGGAGACTCAAGCTTGAGTCAACGCATTGGCTCGTAGCGGGTACAGTCACAACGTAGTGGCCAGTTGCTAATTACGAGAGGTTTGCATGGTAACCACATTGTACGGGGTCTTACGCATTTGCTCAGCGTGGGGGCGCATCAACTGGTGTGTGAGCTCTTTCCAACAGTGTCGGATCGAACGATGCTACGCACGATTTAGCGTTTTCAGCACATGTTCGCTGTCTTGTTCCCCGTTTCTTCCAAGGTTCGAGTTTCCAGGGTTCAGAGATCCCATGGTGCATTCTTATGACATGTCCCTGGGCCCTTACCTGGCTCGATCGCCGACGGTAGCCCAGAGTGGCGCAGCGGACTGGATCCGGCCTTCAGCTGGAAGTGATCAGCTCGCCGTGCGCAAGCCCCCGACGACCACAGACAAATCCACCAGGGGTGACGGACACTTTTCGAACTGTTACCCTCACAAGATTTCCGCCTCCTGCCGCTTACACGTTCCCAACTCTTGGCTGCACATTGTGTTGTCGGAGCAGCGGGGGGGAGGAGTGGGGAGGATGAGCAGGGCGGAGGAAGATAAATAGGAGGAGGAGGCGGAGGGGGAGGAAAGAGAGGGGTGGGACAAGCTAGGTGAACTCGCGCCAGATCTGACATCCTACCCCTCCCAAACCATCCATTCCCATTTTGCTTGTTATCTCTATACCGCGGACGTGTATGATGGCGGACCTCGGACTCCCCCAAAAGGACCCCTTTGTCTTCTGCGTAATCGGAAATTGAGCGTGGCGTGCATCGGATTCATAAGATGAGGATGTGGCGGATGCGCAGGAGGGTGAGCAGGAGGACGAGTAGGAGGAACAGGAGGAGGAGGAGGAATGATGAGGACGAGGACGAACAGCAGCAGCAGTAATTGGAGTGGAAGAGGCAGGAAGAGCAGGAGGATCAGGGGAATGGGGAGGAGGGTAAAGGATGGGGCGGTAACGATTGGGAAGAACTCGGATCCAGAAAAGTGGTTCGCGCTGAAGCGAGAGCAGCGTTCTGAACGACAGAAGCAGGGAAGCGGACATATGGAACCGATGGGGAGGAGCGAGACAGGAGGAGGACGGAAAGGAATGAGGAGGAGGAGGAGGAGAAGGAGGAGGAGGAGGAGGAATTCCGTCGTCTCCGAGACGATAGATGAGGATGAGAGGGAAAGAGGGATGAAGGAAGAGGAGGAGGAGGGCGCATGATAATGCGAATGCGTAGGACTAGGAGGAGGAGGAGGAGGAGGAGGAGGAGGAGAGCCCAGATCACTTCTGCCTCCCATTTTCCCCCACCATGAATACGAGTGACATGAGAAGGATAATAAAAGGATGGCGAAGGCGGATGACGGAGGCGGAGTCGGAGGAGTTCTTTGATTCATCCCCCCTTCCTCTTCTCTCCTCCTTGTAAGCGTCTCTATGGTCTCGCCGTTTGGTCATTTGCCTCTTCCGTCTTCTCCCAGCGCACTAGCCTTTATTGTAACCTACTCTCTTCTCGCCCCCATAGGCGAACGCCACTGGGATGAGGGGGTGAGAGGGGGCAGCTTCGGCAGCTTTGGCCATCGGACCCAATGTCATTTGAGTCGAGTCGAGGCAGAAGATAGAGGAAGGAGGATGAGAAGGAGGACACGGAGGAGTAGGAGGAGGAGGAGGAGGAGGAGGAGGAGGAGGAGGAGGCAGATGAGGACGAGAAGCGAGGAGGAGGACCCCTCGAAACCACGAGTGGAGCGAGGGGGGGGGGTGGAAGACCCCCCCTTGAGACCTGTCCGAAGCTCTGCTGCCGCCCCGGGGCCGCACCGAAGCCCCGGGGGGCGGCGGCAGAGTGGCGAAGGTGGCCGGGCGGCGGCGTCCGGCGACCTCCTCCTCCTCCGCCTCTTCCTCCGCCTCCCTCACTCCTCCTCCTCCTCTCCTCCTCTCCTCCTCCTCCTCCTCCTCCTCCTCTCCTCCTCCTCCTCCTCCTCCTCCTCCTCCTCCTCCTCCTCCTCCTCCTCCTCTCCCCCCCCTCCTCCTCCTCTCCCCCTGAATCCTCCTCCTCCTCCCCCTCTTCTCCTCCTCCTCCCCTCCTCCCCCTCCTCCTCCTCCTCCTCTCCTCCTCCTCCTCCTCCTCCTCCTCCTCCTCCTCCTCCTCCTCCTCCTCCTCCTCCTCCTCCTCCTCGCCCACAGGAGTTCTCCGAGCAGTCGATGGCCGAGGCGGCGGGCCTGGGCGAGGCGCCGCCGGCGGCGGCGGCCAGCCCCAGAGGGCAGAGGGGGCGTTTCTGGCTCTCGCCGCTTTGGGGCTCACCGAAGAGCGGAGGCTTCTGCGGCCAGCGGCTGGCCCACTGTCGGGCCGGACGAAAGGGGGGGGATTGGGAAAGGGGGGGCTACGGAATTTGCTGCATGCAGCTGGTTTCCGGCCCCACCGAGGAGCCCATTCCTCGATACATAGCCGCCTCCGGCGCCGGGAGGCGCCGGGAAAATCAGCTACGCGAGCTGATTCTGAACCCCCCCATTTGCTATCCCCCCCTTTCGCCCGGCCCGACAATTCAGTTGAGCGGAAGATCGGGACAAATCGGAACCAGAGATTCTGGGAGAGTTCCAGAGAAACATAGAACGCCGATTTGTGGAGCGTAGCGCGCGCTTTCGCAGAAGTTCCCAAAGAGTGTTCGAGGGCTTGAGGAACCCAAGTAACACATGGGCGCTCAATTAAACTGCTGAGGGCGGGCAGAAAATCTGGTGTGCACGAGCATTGTGAGCGGGTGCGCGGCGCAGTAGGTTTGTATTTCAGGGACTTCGGCGCTGGTCAATGCGCTGATGGGGGGCCCGAGAATGCGTCGCACATATTACGCCTGTGGCGCCATGGGGGCCGCATTTGCGGTTGCAGTTGGGCGGGCGCCCCGCCGCGCGCACCGTGGCGACAGTTCTCTTGGGCGCCCGCCCGCCGCCGTGGACGTAGTGGGCCCTGCCAGTCTCTCGGTCGGCGCGCGGCGGGTCGGCAGCCACGACGCTGGCGGCCTGAAGATGCTTCGAAAATGTTTCTCCCCGAGCCCGGGGCTATTGTACATTTTCGGTGGCACGCGCAGCTCGGAGAAAAATTGCCTTGTCCGTCGGCGGCCAGTTGGCTGTCCTCGCGCAGAAGTGCCGGCGGATGGTGCGGTCCACGCTCAGCGCAGAGAGCGCGTCCACGAGCGTGGATTCGTCGAGGGGCAGGAGGAAGGACCTCGCGGTCAGGACCATCGCGGCCCGCGATGTCCACGGCCCCACCCTGGGCGCGCGAGGACCTGTTGGGCGCCGCCGCAGTGCGATTTCAGAGAATCTCGGAACCAGAAATCCGGGCGCGCCAAATTTCGCGGGCCGAAAAACTCTCAGAGAGTTTCGGCCAGCCCCGAGGTTTTGGGTTTATGGGGATGTTTCACGCGGGGTGGGTAGTTCAGAGATTTTCAGAGATTCTCAGAGAAGTTCGGACGCGAGAACTTGGCGCGCCCCAGTTTCTGGTTCCGTGAATCTCTGAAAAGCGGTTCCTTACGTTTTACCCGGCCTCCAGGCGTCTTACTGTCAGCCAGAGACGAGCGACTGGCTGGCGCCGCGCCCGATGCTTCCGGAGTTGCGAACTCGGTATTCGATTCCCTGGGGCCCGCGGGCCCCTGGGCCAATCGCGAGGTTGCCGAGGCCCCCAGGCGGTTGCGCGCGTTTGTCTCGGAAACCGAAGTTGGGCATCCGTGGTGGACGCCCGCGCGCACGCGCTAGGTGTCCGCGAGATTGTTCGGTGGCGGATCTTGCATGGCGCGGGGACTTTCCAACGACTTTCTGGAGTGTTCTCTACGGTTATTTCGGCGCGCTTCGGGAACTTTGGGGCGGCGCGGGGAAGTCGCCTGGCCGCGCGCGGGACTTTTTGTTCCAATGCCTTCTCGGGCATTATCGCTGTGTTGCGTGGCCGAGGAGGTCACTGAATAACGCGTTTTTTTTGTTTATTATTATTATTTTCGTGTTTTTTTTCCGTTGCGGTGGTTGCGTGATTGTTTTGGCGGTCCGCCTCCTTGGGGCCCCCTTGGGGCCTCAAGTTTGTTTTGTTGACGTCGGGCCTTCTGGAGTGAAAGGCGCTTGGCGCTGAATTCCCTCGGGCGCGCGCGTGGCCAAATACGCGCCGTGGCTTCATCCGCGCCGGGGCGCATTCCTTCCGTCGCGAAGCCGATGGCGCCCAAGGCGTGGCAGGCCCGTTCGGCGGCGCCCCCGGTGATTTGAAAAACCGAACATGATTTTATCCCGGTCAAATTTTGCCCCGATCCCGGCCGCATCTTAACAATGCCGAGTCAGTGGAGAGGAGTGGAGGGGGGGGTGGATTGCAGAGGAGGGTGCGATGGAGGGCAGCGGAGGTTGAGGAGGAGGGCGGACGAGGAGGAGGAGGAGGGAGGAGGCGGAGGATGAGGATCAGGAGGAGGAGGAGAAGGAGGAGGAGTAGGGACGATGATAAATTTGGTGGGGGGCGATAGTGACGAGGAGGAGGATGAGGAGCCGATTAAGACGATGATTCTATTTTTGGAGGACGAGGAACATTTGAAATATCGAGGTGGAGGAGCAGGAACGAGGAGGAGGAGGATGAGGAGGAGGAGGAGGAAAGCGAAGTCAAGAGCAGGACAAGAGCAGGATCCGAGCCGTCGGGCGCACAGCCGCCTCTGTGAGCGCTGTCCCGGACCCCAGACATTCCGTCCTCTCTTCGAGGGCGGCAGGGAGGGGGGTAATGACTAGGGGAGGGGGATATCATGACTGGGGCCATGATATATCTCCCTAGATTTAATGGCGCCTCATCTTATTTCGGCACGTCCCTGGCAACCCAAGGGTCATGATTTGCGCCCCACCCTCTTGGACGCCCCCCTTTTGGGACGCCTCCCGATCTCTCGTCGTGCTCATGATCCTCGCCCTGATTCTCATCCCTCATGTACCCTTACGTCGGGCATGCCCCTCTACACAAGGAGCATTCAAACATAATCAACAAACTAGAATTGTTGTGCATTTGTTGAGTATGTTTTAAGTTGTCCTCCAAAATCCGCCTGTAGGGGGACATGCCCGACCTAGCTGTACCCTCGCGGCACGGGCCCCCCCCCCCCGCGCGGGGGGGGCGCGGAGTCGTTCGGTGATGCGGGCGAGATCGAGCAGTGGGCGCGCCCTGGCCGCAGGGAGCCACCCGTGCGCCTGGCGCACGGCTCCACCGGGAGGGCGAGGAGGAGGAGGAGGAGGAGGAGGAAGGGAGGAGGAGAGGAGGTAGGAGAGGAGTTAGGAGGAGGAGGAGGAGAGGGAGGAGGAGGAGAGGGAGGGATGAGGAGGGGAAGGAGGAGTAGGAGGCGGAGGAGGAGGAGGAGGAGGAGGAGGAGGAGGAGGGTATCACCAGGAGGAGAGTCAGCGGTGAGCACGGGGGGGACTGAGAGGGAGGAGGCTCTCGCAGAAGGCCGCGGGGCTGCTCGGAAGCCCTCGTGCCTTCCGGGAGGTGTCCTGCGCGTCTTCGGGGAAGGCGCGTGTCTTGTCCAATGCTAATGCTGATGAGGATGAGGATGAGGATGAGGATTAGGATGAGGATGAGGATGAGGATCATGCTGATGCTGATGATGATGATGAGGAGGATGATGACGATGACGCGACTGCTGCTGCTGATGGTGACGGTCGTGATGATGATGATGATGATGATGATGATGATGATGATGATGCCGATGGTGATGGTGTTGGTGATGACGATTCTGACGACGACGATGATGCTGTTGCTGATGATTACGATGCTACGGATGATGATGCTGGTGCCGACCATGATCATGATCACAATCATGATCGTGATCACGATCATGATATTGACGACGTGGATGATTTTGCTGACGATGATGATCATGCTGTTGATTATGAGGATGAGGATGAGGATGAGGATGATGGTGATACCGATGATGATGGTGACGACAATGCTGGTGGCGATGATGTTGATGATGTGGGCGCCCAATGCCATCGAAAGCGCGCGCGCTCGCTTGTGCTGCGTTGTGCGCGGGCACAAATTTCGCGCTCGCGCCTGGCCCGCGCGCAGGCGGGCGAGCAGGGCGCGCGGGGCGCCTCCCGCTTTCCTGCGCCTCGCGGCGCGCGGCCCCACGAGAAGGGCCCGCGCGCGCGAGGGGGGCGACAGCATGTGCCTCGCGGCGCGCGGCCCCACGCGAAGGGCCCGCGCGCGCGCGCGAGGGGGGCGACGGCATGTGCCTCGCGGCGCGCGGCCCCACGCGAAGGGCACGCGCGCGCAAGTGGAAAGCGACGTCATGCGCGTTGCTCGTTTGCTCTTCTGCTCGCTTCGCGGCGCGCCTCGGGGTCGTGCGGCGTGCAGGCACTGGTGCTTGCATCTTGCAGGCATGTGCGCTTGCGTCCCGCCGTGGCGGGCAGCGCGCGCGCGCTTTCGCTGCAGCCGCGTCTTAGCGAGGCATTCTGGAAGCCCGATGCCTGGGCATCTCTTTCGGCTGCGCGGGCGCCGCTGCGCCGCGCGTGAGCGACTGTCGGCCGACAGTTCGGCTTGCGCGCCAGGTCCTGTTGCGTCGACGCGCGTGTCAAAATGCTGTTTTAATCGTTTTCGTGTTGCGTCCGCGTCGGTCGCGCGTGGCGCAGCCGCTCCACGTGCGCTCGGCAGACAGGGCTCGGCGGCAGAAGGATTGCTTGGCGCGCGCCGACCGTCGAAACGGCAATGGCCGGGCGCGCCGCTTCCATGCGAGTCTTCCTGGAGAGAGCCGCAGGCCCTGGCAGGCACGATGCGGCGCGGTTCGATGCGATCGCGGCGGCGCTCGCTGCCGAAAGCGCGTCGCGCCCGTCCGCGCTCGCTGGGGCCAAATTCAGAGACTTCCAGTTCCTGGGAGCGGACCTCGACGGCGGCCAAGAGCGGTGCGTTCGGGAAGCTATCGCGCTCGCGATAAGCGTTCAGGATTGCGCATTTCGCGCCGCGAACCAGCTGCATCGCGCCTGCGCGCGCGTAGGAGGCGGAAGACCAAGTCCAGAGGCCGGCGCCGGCGCATGCGCAGGCCGCCGGGGGCTTTGCCGTCGAAGCTCTCCTCGAGTCAAGGGTGGCGGAGGCTCAGGGGGCCCGCGCGCGGAGCTCCGCAAACTTCGCCGGCGGCTCGACAGCGAGGAAGGCCCAGCGTGCGTCGCTGAGTCGCTGTCTTCGGCGCGCGCAGCGGCCCTCCTGGGCGCATGCCCGCGCTCCATCGCCTCTTTCAAGAGCG